AGCTGTCTCCAAAGGTACTTGTTGGGTTGGCGTATTTCGAGATTAGGATTTGTCACTCCGATTGTCGGAGAGGTATCTCTGGGCCCACTCGGTAATGCACATCACTATAAGCCTTGCAAGCATTGCAACTAATGAGTTAGTTGCGAGATGATGTATTACGAAACGAGTAAAGAGACTTGCCGGTAACGAGATTGAACTAGGTATTGAGATACCGACAATCAAATCTCGGGCAAGTAACATACTGATGACAAAGGGAACAATGTATGTTGTTATGCGGTCTGACCGATAAAGATCTTCGTAGAATATGTAGGAGCCAATATGGGCATCTAGGTCCCGCTATTGGTTATTGACCAGAGAGGTGTCTCGGTCATGTCTACATAGTTCTCGAACCCGTAGGGTCCGCACGCTTAACGTTCGTTGACGATATAGTACTATATGAGTTATGTATGTTGATGACCGAATGTTGTTCGGAGTCTGGGATGAGATCAATGATGAGGAACTCCGAAATGGTCTAGAGATAAAGTTTGATATATGGGATAATAATGTTTGGTCACCGGAAGGGTTCTGGAAATCACCGGAAGGGGTTCCGGATGTTTCCCGAAATGTTTGGGTATGAGAACACTTTATTTGGGCCAAAGGGGAAAGCCCACAAGGTTTTTGGAAAGCGCAAAAGGAAGTTTTGCGGAGTCCAGGGGCCAGACGCCAGGGTCCCTGGCGTCTGGGTCCAGACGCCGGGAACCCTGGCGTCTGGCCCTGGAGTCCGAGAAGGACTCTTGCCTTTCGGGCAAAACCGACTTTGAGGAGGCTTTTGCTCCAAGTTTCGACCCCAGGGCTCAACATATAAATAGAGGGGCAAGGCTAGCACCCAAGACACATCAAGAAACACCAAGCCGTGTGCCGGCAACCCCGTCCCCTCTAGTTTATCCTCCGTCATAGTTTTCGTAGTGCTTATGCGAAGCCCTACGGAGATTGTTCTTCACCAACACCGTCACCACGCCGTTGTGCTACCGGAACTCATCTACTACTTCGCCCCTCTTGCTGGATCGAGAAGGCGAGGACGTCACCGAGCCGAACGTGTGCAGAACTCGGAGGTGCCGTGCTTTCGGTACTTGGATCGGTCGGATCGTGAAGACGTACGACTACATCAACCGCGTTGATATAACGCTTCCGTGAACGGTCTACGAGGGTACGTAGACAACACTCTCCCCTCTCGTTGCTATGCATCACCATGATCTTGCGTGTGCGTAGGAAATTTTTGAAATTACTACGTTCCCCAACAGTACCCCCAAATGATCAGAAACGGGGCCAAAACCCTAATTCCACCGCTGTAACTTTCTGTATCCACAAGATCCCATCTTGGGGCCTGTTCCGAAGCTTCGCCGAAGGGGCATCGATCACGTAGGGCTTCTACATCAACACCATACCCCTCCGATGAAGTGTGAGTAGTTTACCTCAGACCTACGGGTCCATAGTTAGTAGCTAGATGGCTTCTTCTCTCTTTTTAGATCTCAATACAATGTCCCCCCCTCTCTTGTGGAGATCTATTCGATGTAATCGTCTTTTTGCGGTGTGTTTGTTGAGACCGATGAATTGTGGGTTTATGATCAAGTCTATCTATGAATAATATTTGAATCTTCTCTGAATTCTTTTATGTATGATTGGTTATCTTTGCAAGTCTCTTCGAATTATCAGTTTGGTTTGGCCTACTAGATTGATCTTTCTTGCAATGGGAGAAGTGCTTAGCTTTGGGTTCAATCTTGCGGTGTCCTTTTCCGGTGACAGTAAGGGCAGCATGGCACATATTGTATTATTGCCATCGAGGATAACAAGATGGGGTTTTCTTCATATTGCATGAGTCTATCCCTCTACATCATGTCATCTTGCTTAAGGCGTTACTCTGTTTTTAACTTAATATTTTAGATGCATGCTGGATAGCGGTCGATGAGTGGAGTAACAGTAGTAGATGCAGGCAGGAGTCGGTCTACTTGTATCGGAAGTGATGCCTATATACATGATCATACCTAGATATTCTCATAACTATGCTCAATTCTGTCAATTGCTCAACAGTAATTTGTTCACCCACCGTAGAATACTTATGCTCTCGAGAGAAGCCACTAGTGAAACCTATGGCCCCCGGGTCTATCTTTATCATATCAATCTCCTACTACTTAGTTATTTACTTTGCTATTTACTTTGCCTTTATTTTACTTTGCATCTTTATCATAAAAATACCAAAAATATTATCTTATCATATCTATCAGATCTCACTCTCGTAAGTGGCCCTATAGGGATTGACAACCCCTATTTGCGTTGGTTGCGAGGATTTATTTGTTTTGTGCAGGTGCGAGGGACTCACGCGTAGCCTCCTACTGGATTGATACCTTGGTTCTCAAAAACTGAGGGAAATACTTACGCTACTTTGCTGCATCATCCCTTCCTTTTCGGGGAAAACCAACCCAGTGCTAAAAGAGGTAGCACACCTTTTGAAGGATATTCAGGTATGACAACGAGAAACAATTCATTTACACGTTGTCATAGAGAAAAAAAATTTATACATGCAAAGTTGCCCAGATAATAGAAGGAAATAAATTGATATTGCAAGATGCACCTTGTGGTTGCTATTCCTAAATTAGAATGCTACAATTGTTACATAGTTGGCCACAAAAGGGGAGAAGAATATTATGGTACATTAAAACATTCTTTCTGGTGGCTATACTCCTAAAATGGAACATAGTAGGGTCAACACGTTTGTTAATCCCTTGTGAGAAATAACAACATCAAGCCTTTCAAGCATAGTGTAAGAAACCAAACTAGTAATCGAACCGGCAAGGCTAGCGTTTTAGGTTTTTACCGGTCAAATTGCTGGTTCACTTGTTCGATTGTCAGTTTTAAAGTAATAAATTAATACATATTTTACCAATAAATACACCATTCAATAGATAAAAAATGTGCAATCACGTGACAGTGTAACCAGTAACTACATGTTAATATCTAATTCCTATACATGATAAAAATGTAGTTGCTGGCTCGTGGTGTCGGAGCGGCAAGGGAGAGGCGGGGGCGCCGTGTTGCGTTGCCGAGCAAAGGTGGTTGCGTAGGGGGCAACGGCTCCCGATGGGTTTGTCTCTATGGACGAAATCGAGAAAGAAAGCTCCCAGTCGGCCGAAACCCTACCAAAATGGATTTTTTTCCTTAACTGACGCTGCCCTTAGCTAGCTTGTATGCAAAAAAGAGAGTCAATCGAGGGGCTTTTCTGGAATCTACATCGAACCGTCTTGTTTTATGTGAACCGCCCGGTTCATCAGTTTTTCCTAAAAAAACAACCGGTTCGACAATTTTTTCTCGTTCAATTGCTCAAATGGTCTACCGGGCTTAAAAGAAGTCCGGTTTTAAAACCTATGCCTCTAAGATTATTTTTTGGGTGAAAATCGTGCCATGTTAGACATTCACAATGAAATAACTTTCATCAGACATTCATAGTATCGACATCTAAAAAACGACACTACTTGATGTTGACATCGGGCACTATCCAGTATCAAGATTGGCATAAATCTATCAAATGCAAACAGAAAATTATATAATTCTCACAAAAAACCCACTTAAGCACGTTATTTCCATGGACCGAACAACACGCCCATCGTCTTTTAGACGCCATGCCTTGTCTCGGAGATCAGACCGACCACGTGCTACTTTGTTCTCATAAAATTCAAGTTGCTTATCCCACATGCAACATGGTTTTCAAGGCTTCATTTTTCCAAGTACTCCATGACACATCAATAAGCCAAGCGAGGCTATAAAAACCCAACGGGATGAGCACCTTATTTCATTATTACCAACACTCATGCGCTATACGTGGTATACTATACGTTGACTACGTCATTTTCAAGGAGCACGAGTGACTCGAAATTAACTCGAAAGTCAAAGTTGCAAAGCCAAAAACTAGTCGTATACTAGTACATACATCATGCCATTGACTATGTCCGACACCGTACATAGGACCATAGTTTGACTTTTGAAGGAGCACGATCAGGCTCCGGATCAATTTGAAAGTCAAATTTGCGAAGCCGGATACTAGTAGTACTGCTACTTGTATAAACAAACGCACACATGGCATTGACCCTGTCTGCCGTTGTACAAGTATACTACCCCGCTCTGATTATTAGTCCCACTCGTATTTTGGGTCATACTTTGATCTTGACTGTAACTAATAAAATATAAGCTGTAAGTAACAAAAAAAATATCATTGGAAATTACGTTCAAATACGAATCTAACAATATAAGTTTTTGTGTTATGCATTAGCATTTTACTAGCTACGTGCATGATTGAATTTGAACCTAAAAATACTACGGGACTAATGAATCCGAACGGAGGAGAGATACTCTGGAGCACCGGCGTCGGCGGCGTGCAACGGAGAAAAGATCAGCCGCCGGGAGGGGGGGACTCGCGACACGATTCCCACAAACCCTAGGGGCCCAAACGCGAAACGGGCCCGGAACACAGCAAAGATTAAAGGAAAAAGGGAGCCACCGAATTCCGGGAGGAATCGGCGAGGACACTTCCCCCAGCGCCTTTCTCTATCTCTCGCTCTCTCTCCACACCATCGTCGTCTCTTTCCCCTCCTCCTTCCCCTCTCTATTCCCCTGCTCCCTTCACCACCACCACTCCCCACCCACTTCCCACCCATCCCCTCCCCCGCAGTCCCGCCTCCCCCACGCAGCGCCACTCCCCAGGCGGAAAAAAATCCCTCGGATTCCCGCCTCGGACCACGCGGCCCGCCCCGATCGCCGGCGAGCTCCCCGACCCCCGGCGTTTCTCAGGTGAGGCGAGGCGAGGTGGCCCGGAGGCGAGATCCCCCGCCGGGAACGGGACGAGGGGATCCGGCTCGGCTCGCCCGCGGCGGGCGGGCGGTTGTTTCGCTAGGGTTTCTGACTGGAATGCGGTTTCCGTTTCAGGATTCGGAGGTTTGGCCCCCGGAGGAGGAGCGGAGGATCCGGCGCCCATGTCGGGCCACCTCGATCGCCTCGCGCGCCCAGGTGAGCCCGCCCCCGTTAACTTCTTACTCCTGGATTTATCGCGGCGCTGGTTCGATTGCCGCCCGCTTTGGGTTGCCTCGCCGTGCCCGCGAGGCTACCGTGATCCGCGGCGTGAGCTCTGTCCCTTCCTTGGAGGATTGGACTAGCCGCGCCGCCCAGGCGGCTGGCTGCGGGTTCCCCGGGTTCCGACTTAGAATAGTTGTTTTTTCGCCGCCGTCTCGTGTTTGGAGCCGTATGTACGCGCCGGGTCGTAGGATGGGTTTGGCGGCTGCGAGGTGGTGACCTGTTCAATACCTCGTCCATTTGGCCTCATCGCAGGTGCTGCTGCCTGCTGTGGTCATCGTTGGCTGCAGGCGTAGTTCCCTATGCCAGGAACATCCAGGCTAGGTTGGATTTTTGTGGGCGCTTTAAACTTCTTACCACATCCTTGTGTAATTTTCGCCTCGAGGCAAGTAGCTTGTTAGGCTAGAAGGGATGGAATCCTTCTGCTATGAGGAGAAGGTGCCCTGACCTGTCACCTAATTCGTGACCAATAATCTGGTAGACAAGAACACCAGAAAATTTAATGCATAAAGCACATGCCAATGTAGTTTGGTTTCATTTGGTGGAGGACCGGACTTAGACCTTGTAATCAAGAGCACATGTATCTATCCTGTGGGGTTGGACCTTTTCGCTAACATCGTCTCAAAATATCACACCATCAAGTTATTAAGGAGATGGCTAATGATTCCGTTCATTTGATGCTATTATCATTGTTTCTGAAACTTAGCAAGAAGTTGAGCTGCCGGTGTTTATGCTAATTGTAGCTGTTATCATCTGTCCACGTAACGTTATAAACATTGAATTATCTTGTTTGAACCTTAGCTTGTAAGCTGGGTTCATTGTTCAGAACAAAGATATTGCCAAAGCTTATGTTGTTCAAAATTTGTCATGACATTGATCTTTGTTTACTAATTCTAATGCTAGGGTGGGCTTATAACATTTGATAAACCCAATGTCACAAACCTATGCTCATAAGTATGATGAGTAGTATAGTTTAATGTGGCTACTTTCTGCCAAGCAGTCATTGTTGCATCAAAGTAAATTAGTGCTGCAATTTGGAGAACTTGGCATGACCGGTGGCTTATTTACCTTTTTGATGTCTCAGTCTCAGGTTTTGAAGGTTGTTCAAGTCACGATGACAGGAGATCATATGAGAGGAGATCAGATTTTGAAATCTCTGAAGATGAAAAGAAGACAAGAATGGGCTCTTTGAAGAAGAAAGCTATAGATGCATCGAGTAAGCTTAGGCATTCCTTAAAGAAAAAGAACAGGAGGAAGAGTGGCAGTCGGGTTCTCTCTGTGTCTATTGAAGATGTGCGTGATCTAGGGGAACTGGAAGAGGTAGAAGCATTTAGACAGGCGCTAATTTTGGACGAATTGTTGCCTTCAAGGCATGATGACTATCATATGCTGCTGAGGTATAATCCTGTTTATCATGGCACCCCTGTTACATGAGCTTGTCATGTTTCTTCTTTGTTTGCTATATTATCTCACACTGGTGTCTATAAGCTAATTTAAAATGTTTTGTGTTTAGATTCTTAAAGGCAAGGAAATTTGACATCGAGAAAGCAAAGCAAATGTGGACTGACATGCTTCAATGGAGGAAGGAATATGGTACTGATACAATTGTTGAGGTCAGCTAGCTGAAATTAAAGTTCTAATACAGTTCTGTTTTGTTTGACTATAAATAACAGCTGGAGCCACATTTCTCTGTAGGATTTTGATTACACTGAGTTGGACACTGTTCTGGAATACTATCCTCATGGTTATCATGGCGTTGACAAAGAGGGGAGACCTGTTTATATCGAAAGGCTTGGAAAGGTCGACCCTAACAAGCTTATGAATGTGACAACTATGGACAGATATGTAAGGTACCATGTGAAGGAATTTGAGAGGAGCTTCTTGATCAAATTTCCAGCATGCTCTCTTGCGGCTAAAAGACACATCAATTCGAGCACAACAATTCTGGATGTTCAGGGTGTGGTATGTTTCCGAAGACTTAGTCTGCACAACTTGTCCATTTTCTCACAAGCCTGGCAACTAACTAGTTCTAACTCGGTACTTGCTTTGCAGGGTTTGAAAAATTTCAGCAAAACTGCACGCGAATTAATTATGCGACTGCAGAAAGTTGACAACGATAACTACCCTGAGGTCTGGACTTCCACCCTACTCTTGTGATAAGCATAGTTCGGCATTCACATGTTTTATTGTGATTTACTGAGTTAAATATCCACCATTTTCTGTTCTATGTTCCAGACTTTACACCAAATGTTTATAGTCAATGCTGGCCCGGGCTTTCGGATGCTATGGAGCACCGTGAAATCTTTCCTTGACCCAAAAACCACTTCCAAGATACATGTAAGCATTTGCACGGACCACACCTTGCTTTTTTTATGCTGAAGTCACTTGATTTACTAGGTACTATTGTGTTTCGTCAGGTACTTGGGAACAAGTGTCAAAGTAAGCTACTTGAAATAATTGATGCTAGGTAAGTTGCGTTCAGTGTATTGTTCTTGTAATACTTTGACTTGTTTTAATGAATACTCTGTTCTAATTATTTTTCATTTGTGATAATTGATCAGTGAATTGCCAGAATTTCTTGGTGGCACTTGTACCTGTCCTGAATATGGAGGGTGCCTCAAAGCTGAAAAAGGGCCATGGAAGGATGCAAACATACTGAAGGTATGGCCTATTAGGTTCCTGGTAATCATGTATCTATTACTAGTCACTTTCCTTTATTATCTCCCCTTTTAATGTGCTAATTACACGCTGATATCAGAAAGTCCTTAATGGCGAGGCTCAGTGTGCTCGGCAGATTGTAACTGTTTCCAATGGGACGGAAACTATTATTTCTTATCCCAAGTCTAAGTACCAAATGGTATGTCTCACAATCAATTTGTATTGTTCTATGCTTGAGTGATCTATATGCGGGAATATAATTTGTTTTAACATGGAATGCCAGGTACGTGGAAGTGATACATCAACTGCAGAGTCTGGATCTGAAGCGGAAGATGTAACTTCCCCCAAAGCTCTAAGAAGTTACATCTCCCATCCTAAGTTGACCCCAGTTCGTGAAGAGGTCAGTAGTTTAGATTACATTGTGCTATGATGCAGTTGCTTACGAACAAAGGACCAGCCAATTGATCTATCACTCAAATACAATTGTCAATCAGCCTACTCATCAGGGTAGCTGAACTGAAATTTGATGGCACTACTTGTGCTCCAAACCACCAGTATGCGGTGGTTGATCTTAACTATTTGTATAATGACTACATTTCATATAGCAAACAAAAAATTGGAACTGCCTGTCTCCATCAAACAACCTGTTAGGTAGACAAAAAAAGTAGTAGGTTCTAAACAACTAAAACCAATCACTACTCACTTTGTTGCTATCCTAATTTCCTGGCTAGCTGTTTTTAAATTTCCACATGTTAAAAAAAGAATTTACAAGCCCCTTCTCCTTGTTTCTCTGTTACGCATATGGATTGTGTTACACTGGTTTGAACTTGCCTTTTCGCCTTTCAGGTCAAGATGATCAGGGCCACTAGCTTTTCTACCCGTATGCCTGAATATGATGTTCCTGTTGTTGACAAAGCAGTGGATGCAACATGGAAGAGAGAACTGCCTCGGAAGGCGCCTGTCCTGCCCAAAGGTATCTGTTTGTCACTTCATTGCAGGATCTGAAGGCTGTTTTCCGATACTGCCAAAACCTGATATTTTTGCTATTTCTTGAATGTAGACTCTTCTTTGGCTACCACCACAAAGGCATCCAACAGGTCTTTGGATCAGATTATTCCAGCTCTGATGGCTTTTGTGATTGCTATTGTAACGCTGCTTCGCTCAGTTAAAGATGTTGCGACAAAGAGATTGCCAGATAAAAACGAGTCAGACGAACAAAGTTCTGCAGTATATCAAGACTGCATTCCAAAAGAGGAGTTCCGCCCCCCGTCGCCAGGTCCTGGGTTTGCTGAATCTGACCTGTTCTCGTTAGTCTTGCAAAGGCTGGCAGAGCTTGAAGCGAAGGTTCATGCGCTTGAAGCAAAACCTTCTGAAATGCCTTGCGAGAAAGAAGAGCTGCTTAATGCCGCTGTCCGCCGCGTGGATGCACTGGAAGCCGAACTCATTGTAACAAAGAAGGTAATTCCATAGCTTGTTGCTCACTGTTTCATTAGAAATCACAACTGGTCATGCAGACATTTGGTTAGTTTAATTAAGAAGTTCACTGGCCAGTCGCTTACCCTGTGTGTTCTCAAAATTCTTCTAGGCCCTGCACGAGGCTCTTATCAGGCAAGAGGAACTACTTGCTTATGTGGACAGGAAGACAATTGCCAAGGCCCAGGTTTGTAATGCATAACGCAATCAGTCTTTTCACTGTTTTTCATCTCGTGATCTGTTTCTCATGTGTCATGTCTACCTTCCTGTTGCAGAAAAAGAAGAAGAAGCCGATGTCTTGCTACTAGGACACAAGGAGAGAGAGAGAGAGAGCCCCCTTTGGTTCCAGTTTTCTTTTCTCTGAGATGCCGGAGATGGCGTTTGAGATGATGTAAACGGTTGATCCGTTCGTTTTCCTGACAAATGTGAAAAGGACAGACATATGGGTTTGTAAATGGACAGAAAATCCTGACATAAATAAAATGTGTTTTTGCGCTGAATCCTGCCCATTTCAGCCTGCCTGTCTTATAAGTACAGGATTGCAGGCAGAATTCTGTTTCTGCAATTTGTTTACTCCAGTTTATCCGTGCCATCACCATCACAAGCCTGACAATACGCAGCTCTAGGCTAGCTGAACTATCTGTAGTTTCATGGGATGCAATTAACCAGGTGAAACAAGACCAAGCATATTGTCCAGCTATTGGCAGATTGTGCCACAATCCTCCTACCCTTGTCCAGCTGCAGGCAGATTGTTGCAAGGCATCACCAATTTTGTGTCATCACGTTTCAGTTACACATCATTCTTCAGAAGCGCAAAACTGAGCAGAGTCTTTATAAAGACAAAACACATACAGTACAATTCTTCTACACACACAAAATATGTTTCGACAAGACGCGATCGGCATAGCTAGGACCTGCTTGCTTGGAGTGCTGCTGCTAATTTCACATGAAACAGTTTGATCTCTGCTTCCAAGATAAAACAAAATTACAAAATCCTGTGGCCTAATGTGGCAGTACCACACACAATTCAGCCTCGGCATTCCAGATTGTATGTATGTATGTATGTATGTATGTATGTATGTATGCATCCTTTTTGCTGCATCCTTCTCCCTTTCTTGCTTTGCTCCCCCTTCCCCCCTGCCTGCGGTCGCCGGTCGTCGTTCGCCAGCGCTCTTTTCTTCACCAACGGAACGGGTTCTGCTGTTGGAGACAAAACTTTAATGAAATCAGCTTATAAGATGGGTGCTACCACAAGCTCAAGCTGACAGTAGCGAGTGAGCGAGAGTGCCGGCATTACCATCCCCTTCTTTTTCTTCTTCTTCTCGATGTACGCCAGCACCTCCTCCTGCTGCCCTTTCGACGTCTCCAGAAGCTGCAATGTTACATGGATTCACCATTAACGGAGACAAGGCTAGACAGGAGTGCTTGCCTGAATCAATGTCATGTGTTGTGTCAGCTTACCTTCTTGGTGGCCTCGAGCTCGGCCTCGAGGGCGTCGAGCCGGGTGGCGGCGGCGGCGAGCTGCTCCGCCTTGTCGGCGGGCATCTCGGTGGGCCGCGACCCGAGGGCGGCCACCTTCTCCTCCAGGTCGCCCACCCGCTTGGCCAGCGCCTCGTACTGCGCCGTCGACACCCCCGCCACCATGACCGGGCCCCCGCCGCCCCCTCCCTGCCCCTGGGCCTGCAGGAGCTTGCGGTTCTTGGCCATGGCCTCCATGGTGGCGATGCCCATGGCCGCGTCCATGGCGCGCTTCGGCGCGATCTTGCCCACCCGGAACATGGCCACCACCCCCATCACGAACGCCATGAACCCCGTCACCACCTGCCGGTCCCCGGCGTCGCCGTGCTTGTACGCGTCCGGCAGCGACGCGTACATATCTGCCACCATGCCAAACACATTCCCACTCTTCGTTCAGAACCACACGCAAACCAACGCCTCATTCCATTAGCTCTATCTGCTTTTTCATGGAGTGTTTGTTTGGTTGAAGGGTGCAAAGGCCGAGCTGACCTCTCGCGATGGCGAGCTTCTCCGCGCTCATCTCGCCGTTCCAGTTGAAATCCATGCCCTTGTCCGCCATGGGGAAGAGCTCGTCGTAGGGCGCGGAGCCCCCCTCGTTACCGGAAGGAGCAACCTGCGAATCCTGGGTCAGAGATGCAACAGAATTAGGCTACATACATTCAAGTTAGCACTACTACCATGGAAGGGACCAACAATGTTGTCTGGCTCGCTACTGTAGCAAATCCGACAAATGCTAGGTGTTAGACACATTCCTTCACCTTGGCCTCTTCATTTGGCACCTCATGGAGGGGAGCCATATGCGGCGGGTGTTCGACCTTGTCGTGCGCCACCTTAGGAGAGTCGACGCCGTCACGGCGCATCGACTCTTGCTTCTGCAAAGGCGATGTTCGTCAGAGATGCGAGCGATATGTCGGGAAAAAAAGGCTAGGTAAAACCTGCATATATGAGTAGGAAAGCTCGTGGCAACCTTTACAGCCGGCGCAGCATCGTCCTCGGTGATCGTCTTCTCCTCGGCGCTGGCAGGGTCCGAGTTGTTCATCCCGCACCTCCCCAAGCCACATTGCACCATCTGAAGAATCAAACCACAAAATGTTCATGGTACTGCTCAGGAGTGGGTTCAGCTGTAGTAGCAATGTAGCATCACTACTACTTTCACTGGCAAGTGTGCACTAGCAAATATTCATTCCCACGCATCGTGTATGAACTCCGATTGTTGGAAAATAACCATTATTAACCTTTATGATTTCAGGGTCCTTCCACGGTCCTTTGTCGGAGCGCATGCAACCTCCGCCCTCGCATACACAAGTGCCCCCAAAGAATTCGGGCAATTCGCTGTCGAACCCCGCAGAACAAGAACAAAAAAAAGTGAGTTCAACTTCAGCATGCTGCTGATACTAATGCAAAGCAATCTCATTTGAATTGTCAGTGCTGCCAACTTGCAAAATCCTTTTAGAGTTGCTGTATAAAAAGGGGAACTTCTAGGACAAACCTGGGATCAATGACTTCCAGCAACTTGCTCTGGTACTTGTTGCCGAGAACCTAAACCCCGAGGCATGAACCGTGAACAAAAGGGATTATAAATCTTGATCAAGTATATAGATTAGCTGATGACTGACTGATAAAGTACATGAAGTGAAAAGAGATGGGTTACATGGATCTTGGCTGTGGTCTTGGGGTCAAGGAAGGACTTGACGGTGTTCCACAGGAGCCTGAATCCCTGACCGGCGTTGATGATGAACATCCGGCACAGGGTCTGCATCGTCAGTTAAAATCATCAGCCGAGCATCATTTCCTTCCAAGAAGAGATATTTGGCAAACATGTAAATCAATAATTTTTTTTCCCGGAATTCCCTTGTCTAGAGAATTTTCCGTCAAGTACTTCTAGTTGACAACATTGATTTTTATTTTTCCGGGAGCGCACAAATCTGCTAACAAAACAGGCTGACCAAATTGTAGACAGATAAAAAGTACCCCCTCCATAATCAAATATAAGAGCGTTTAGATCACTAAAATAGTGATCTAAACACTCTTATATTTGTTTACAGAGGGAGTACACGATAAAATTGGGTTTAATTCTCAGGTTTACATGAAATTGTCTGTGCCGGTTAGCATTAAGATTTCTGAAAGAGAATCAATACCGAAGCATGGGCCGTCAATGGAGCAGTATCACTGCACACGCATCGGCATATCGTATCATATATATATGGTATACCTCAGGGAAGTTATCCCCGTCGATTTTCTGGAGCTGGCCGATGAGATCCCTCGCAGCCTTGTTGAAGTTCTTGTAGCCCTGCGACATGCCCAACAGTGTCACATCAACTTTTTCTCCAGTGTGGCTGCTAGCTCTATGAAAATGCTGAAGAAACTAGCTAGGCATGGATGATGAGCAGTTAATTAGTTACCACGCCGGAGACGTCGAGGATGGTGGTGCTCTGGTCGACGTGGCGCTTGGCGGAGATGGAGCAGGCCGGGAACTTGAGGGCGAAGGCCCTCTCGAACTCCCTCACGTGGTACCTCACGTAGCGGTCCATGCTGGTGACCTGCAGCAGCTTGGTGGTGTCAATGGCGCCCAGCTTCTCGATGTAGATCGGCCGGCCGTCCTTGTCCACGCCGTGGTGCCCCTGCGGGTAGTGCTCCAGCACCTGCTCCACCTCCTCGAATTGGAAATCCTGCGTGCGTGCGTACCTCGAATTAATAGTTGCATTCATCTCCCATTAATTTTCCGGAGAAGACGGTGATGGATGGGGATCTAATGGAGCACGCTACGCTACGTACTTCCATGATGGTGTCGGTGCCGAACTCCTTGCGCCAGTTGAGCATGTCGGACCACATCTGCTTGCTCTTGTCGATCTCGAACTTGCGGGCCTTGAGGAAGCGGAGCATCATGTGGTAGTCGTCGTGGCGCGCCGGGAGGAGCTCCTCCAGGACCAGCGTCTGCCGGAACGCGTCCACGGAGGCCGCCTCCTTGGCGTCGCGCACGTCCTCGATGGCCACCGACATCACCTTGCTGCTGCGCTGCCGCCCCGACCGCCGGCTCAGCGAGCTGCGGAGCATCTTGGAGGAGGCGCTCATGGCGCGGTGCCGGAGCGACGCCGACGACGCCATGCCGGGCGCCCGCGAGGTCGGGGTCGAGGCGGCGCCATCCGCCGCCGCGTCGGGCGTCGCGGACATGGGGCGGCGGGGGTGTCGGTCGTCGTCGCCTTATTTCGTGGATCGATCACACCGGCTAGCTAGCTAGCGGGGACGGCGGCCGGCCGGGCGAGCGAGCGCCGCTGCACCACCACTGTCCTGAACGATCAACCACCGCCGGCCATCGCCAGCAATTAGTTTCCTGGATCGACGGAGAAGAGATAACAAGAACCGAATTTACACGGATCGACAGGTGAATTACCTACGTACGTACCAGGGAGACGGCCTTGCGGGGAGGGTGAAATGGAGAGGGGAAGAAGAAGGGTGGGGACGGGGAATGGCGAATGCTAGGTAGAGTTCGTTGGTGCATGCATGGCCCCGGCCCGCCATGGGCGTCCCCTTCCCCACGAGGCTCTCCCACTATTTCAGGCACCATGGTAGCTGCACCGCTCCTAACTTTAACTTGGACCATGGCTGTTTTCATAGTTGGTTTATCTAGTTCAAATCACGTTACTAATTACTCTCTCTATTCATAAATATAAGATGTTTTAAGTATTTCAATATAAACTACATACGAACTGAATGGACTGAACAAACACACTAAAATGTGTCCATATGCGCGAACTGAGCATAACTCAAATGGTTAGCTTCCTTATGGCGGAACTAGCCCATCAAGGTTGTCCTAGACTTGACACTGGTGTGTGTGCGTACCTTTATAAAAATGAGTGTATGTGCATGTGTATGAGCATCTGTAATTGTACTATGTAAAAAATATGTCTGTGTACATCCATTCAGAAAAAAGTTAGAACATCCTATGTACTCCCTCCATTCCTAAATATAAGTCTTTTTAGAGATTGACCAATATGGACTACATACGGAGCAAAATTAGTGAATCTACACTCTAAACTACGTCTATATACATCCGTATGTAATTTATATTGAAATCTCTAGAAAGACTTATATTTAGAAAAGGAGGGAGTATATTGTATGTGTGTGTATGTGGGCATCTGTCTAAGTACAACCAATTCAAAAAAAGGTTAGTAGCGTATGTGCATGTATGCCGGCACAATCTTTAATGCATCCGACTTAGAAACTAACCTGGGCATCTGTCTAAGATCTGTCTGAGCATCCGACTTAGAAACTAACCTGGCGCCATGGGCAGATGTTGCCGTGGGGCTGGCTGGCAATGAAACTAACCTGCGACATCCATGCTACAAAGGCAAAGCCGACGGAGCGTGGGTCGCTCGCAGTACATGTTCTGCGACTCATACAGTAGCTCACTGGTACACTCGCTACAGTTAATAGAAAATTGCCAGCTTCAAAATTACAAGAACCAGCACAAATGTTGTACGCAGTACAATATAAAAATGTAAAATAAAGGATTGCTGGCTAGATTCGTTACTCATGCAGTTCAGTTCAGTGCATCTGTATCTAGAGAAGTTAACTCCTAGTATGAACTTAAAGTTCGAACCCACTCCAAGATTTTCCGCAAAACAAGTTCATGAGCAAACACTGAAAACACCCTAACTTCTTCAGATTCAGTTTATCTAATTCACATCTAGATATTTTTTAAGAATATCACATCTAAGCTCCTGCAAATATATAATGCAGCAACAAGAAACAAAAAAAATAGGACAAAAAAAAGACCACAAATAGAGTGGACATCAGCTTAAATGTGACATAACTATATCACATCTAGATGTGTCCTAGACAGACCCCTCCAGATTTCCTGCAAAATGAGTGCCCCGCAAACTGCCACCCTCAGCTACTACTTGATTGTTAGTCTTAAAAAACCTGAAAATAAAAAATAAATAAACATTAGATACATTTGAATATAAACATATAAACATATAAACAGAACAAGTGGCAGATCAAAAAGAAGAGAAAAAAAATCAGAGTAAACAGAAATGGATTAAGAACACATGTCCCTTTTAAAATGAAGTGAATAGGGAGCTATCATTTTGATTTTCAGGAGAGATACAGAGCATATGAAATAGCAAGTTTCAGTTTCAAGATTTGATCAATCGGTTACAATATTTCAGGAAAAAGAAAAGATGACGGTTATTGGAAATTTCGGTGGAAGGCTAGGCATTCTTCAGAAGTTATGCACTTGATATGTTAAGCATGCCTGCTAGATCAGAACTATTCAGAAGCACTCCTTTAGATAATGAAACATAGTTCAGGAAACACTAATTCTCCTGGATGAAAGGTCCATGCTAAAAGACATAGATAGTTTCCAGCAGCACTTTGTGGTGCTGCCACAAGACTCTTATGCCTGGAAGAACAAGTTCAGTTAGCATTCTACAGAAACATCTGCCATGATTAAATATTTCAGCATGTGTGTGACAAAACAATAAATGACAACACTTGGCATAGACACGCCGAAATGTGATTCTTTTTACCTAGCGCGCATGCCAAACATATTACTAGTGCCAATAAAACATGAACTGGAACTTAACCAATGACAGGCTGATATCAGGCAGCACCGCGACAGTATATACTAGCGGTAATTGGCAAAAGGTGCACAAGATTGCTCTTTCAAATCATGAACTGCATGGATTGAGTATGTAAAAAAGAAAACAAACTCCTAAACATGTGAATGGATGACATACAGATCAATGATGGATCAACATAGAAGCATGAGCTAAGAGAAATATAGTACCCAGTGATACATCGACTGGTATCTTGGCACACTTTTCATTTTGTGCGGTGTCTATCTAAACGAACTAGAACATCTGCCAAAGTCTTGCTTTCTGTGTTGTCCTTCTTTCCTGAAAACAAACTCATCTGATCAAGATAGATGAACTTGAACAAATAGTAACAAACTCAGAGTTTGCCCACACCGATCAACAAATCCTATCATTAGGATACTTTAAACAAATTCTGTAGTAGACGACCTGCAAAACAACTTAATGGAAATGCAAAGTACCACATGCGCCTCTAGAGTCTAAGGTGTAAAATAGGGTCTAGCATATTGTACATGTATACGTATTTGTATACGTATGTAATTTTATTTTGATCATCTATATATTAAGACGTGAGGCTGGATGTTAGCCACCCACGCAAAATCCTAAACCCAGTGTTTCAACTTAGTATCAGGTAGGTCAGGCCGCCGCCGCAGGTCCCTCACGCCGCCGCCCGATCCTCTCTCCGCGTAGCCGCCGCTTCCGCTTGCTGCTTCACGTACGAGATTAATCCAGCTAGAGGAATCCATCCAGCTGCTGGCGATGGCGATGCTGTCTGCGTCGTTCCCTTCCTGAAGGCATCGTCGTGGAGATGTTCAAGGCCACTCTCTGCTACCTCCGGGGGAAACCCTAGATCAGTAGATCGGATGGCGGCGGCTCTCTGGTGTCGTCTTCCCCCCTGGGGGCGTCATTCTTGGAGGTGCACACGGGCTCGAGGGACTAGAGGACGGCGACGTTGGTGGAGCGGAGCTTCATCTTTCACATTGATGATGGCGGATCTCGGCGGCATGGTGCTGTGGAGACTCGGCGTCTGATGCGCGGAGATGGACTCGTGCAGGAGGAGGAAGCTGTCTGGCGTCATGGGGACGTCGATGGCAGACTGGCCAGACAAGGTAGAAGCCTCAATTTGATCTGAAGACGGACCTGTGGAAGATGGCGGCGACGACACACGAGTGCGTCTGACCGGATTGCGCCCCAGACCCAGTATGTGGCTCGGCTAGGGTTACCGAATGAGTTTCGGCTTCCGGCTTTTGATGTTAGGCTTAGGTGAGTGGTTTGGGTAGTGGCCCAGCTAGCACCCCCTCATCATATGGGATAGGAGTAGCGGCACATGTTGCCAAGATGGTGGATTCAGACACATTGTTGTAATACTTTGTATGGTTATCGAGAATAATCAATAAAGTGGCCGTATGCATCTCCCAGATGCAGAGGCCGGGGGTCATCCTCCTTTTCTAAAAAAAAAAGCTAGCTAGCTAGCTTTGCCTGTACGCTGCGCCGCTTCCGATCGCTGCTCCCGCGCGTGTCATCTTCCGCACCGCCGCCGTATCTTGCCTCAGCCGCCGCCGCGTGACGTTCTTCTCCACGCCGCCGCAGTGATGTCGTCTTCCGCCCTCTCCACCGGCCAAACTACCGGCGCCCTCGTCTCGTCCCCCGTCGCCACGATTCCCGCCGCGCTCACCGTCCCGACGATCTCCGTCCGCCTCGGTCGTCACAACTTCATGCTTTGGGGAGGCATCACCAGCACTGTCCTTGCCGGTGCCAACCTCCACGGACACCTCGATGGCACCAAGGCAGCACCGGCCAAAACACTCGTTGTCGGCACCGGCGGCGCTGCTACCGCCGTCGACAACCCGGAGTACCACCAATGGTGGGTTCAAGATCAGCGCGTCAAGGGGCTCCTTCTCACCTCCATGGATGAGGATATTGCATGCCAACTCATTGGCTACGAGTCGGCGCATGCGGTGTGGACAGCCGTCGCCGCCATGTTCGGCGCCCAGAGCCGCGCCAACGTCCGTCACATCCGGCGGCAACTTCAGTCGCTGAGGAAGGACGATCTCTCCGCCGCGGAATACATGCACAAGATGAAGACGCTTGCCGACATTATGGCCGCCGCCGGCTCCCCGATCCGCGATGATGAGCTTATCGATCACATCCTCACCGGCCTCGGCTCCGCCTACAACTCCATCACCGCCTCCTTGGGTGTGAGTAACGCACCCATGCCCTACTCCAGCTTTTACTCATTGGTTCTATCCTTCGAGGCGCTGCAGGCACAGCAGAGTGCGGTGGAGGGGT